TTCGGGTTTTTGATAAATTTGTAGGTCCAAATTAATTTTGAAGTTATTTTGGTTTGGTTCGAGTTTTGATAAAATAGAAAAGTAAATAATCAACTTTAATCAACGTTATATATATTTCAAGTATATTTAAATGTATTTTTTAAAATATATATCATTTACTTATTCGGTTTATTGATCACTTATTTGGTTTGGTTGCACTAAATTCGGATTCCGTTGCGATTTAATTTGGTTCATTTCATTTGTTATATTTACTATACATGTTACCATAAAATTTTGGTTTAGTTTCATGTTGATGAATTTCGATTCGGTTCCATTTTGTTTGTCCACCCTTTTTTTTGTTTTGTGTGTATTTTGTGTTCGTTTTTGGTTACCTAAACTCAAATGAATAATCAATTTTTGTTTTGTGTACAGATCACATTAGTCGTTATCCTTCAACTCGCAACAGCTGCAATCCTTCACAACTCAGGATGGCTCAAGATTCTAACCATTGCTTACTTCTTTGGTTCATTCCTTAATCACAATCTCTTCTTAGCAATCCATGAGCTAAGTCACAACCTCGCATTCTCTACTCCGGTTTACAATGGCTGTCTCGGTATTTTCGCCAATCTCCCAATCGGCGTACCAATGTCAGTAACATTCCAAAAATACCATCTCGAACATCATCGGTTCCAAGGCGTAGACGGTATTGATATGGACGTTCCTACTTACACAGAAGCTCATTTAGTAACAAACATCTTTGCTAAATCCATTTGGGTTTTGTTACAACTCTTCTTTTACGCTCTTCGTCCGTTATTCATCAAACCAAAACCACCCGGTTATTGGGAATTCATCAATTTCTTCATTCAAATCGGTCTAGATGTATCCGTTGTTCTCTTCTTCGGATGGAGATCTTTCGCGTATCTAATCTTATCGACATTTGTTGGAGGCGGAATGCATCCAATGGCGGGTCATTTTATCTCGGAACATTATGTATTTAACCCGAATCAAGAGACTTATTCGTATTACGGACCATTGAATCTACTAACATGGAGTGTTGGGTATCATAACGAGCATCATGACTTCCCGAGGATACCGGGACATAAGCTGCATTTGGTGAAGGAGATTGCACCTGAGTATTATCAAGGATTGGAGTCATATAAGTCATGGTCACAAGTGATTTATATGTATATTATGGATACAACAGTTGGACCTTTTAGCAGAATGAAGAGGAAGCTCTCAACTACAACTACACATAAGTCTGACTAATTTTACTTTCTTCATTACTTACATCAAACTCTCTGTTCTTGTTCTGAGGGGGTTACATTGGATTGAATTTGTTGATTTTTGTAATTTTATTGGAGGATTTTTTTTTGTGATTTTAGAATGGCTTAGGTCTATTATTACTATTTAATGAAATATTTCCATATCTTTTAAGATCGTGAAATTTAATCCAGATCAGATCGACTATGAACCATGTCTCCATC